CCCAGACATTTCCATGGCCCTCCAGCTTTGCCTGCCCAAGATGCTCCTCAGCGCTCAGCCCCATTTCCTCTCCTCTGAGAAACCTTCCCCAACATTCCCCAAAGTGGGCCAGGTGCCTCCTTAGGGCTCCCCCAGCCCCACTGTGTTCCCACACTGGTCACACTCTGCCAGCCTGAGTGCCCTGGAGACTTTGTGGAGCCCGAGAGCAGGGGCCCGCCCTTTATCCCTGCGGTGCCTTATAGATGCCTGTGAAAGAGTGTGTGTGTGTGTGTGTGTGTGTGTGTGTGTGTGTGTGTGTGTACTGGAAGGGGGTGGGGAGGTGACTGTTTTTATTCCCTCGTCCTGCCCGTGTCCGTGTTGAATGCACCCCTCCCGGGCCGTGGGGATTGGGACGGCTGGGAGTGGGAGTGACGGGCAACGTGGCGGAAGCAGGACTCACCGACGGGCATGAGGGCCATGACCAGCTTGGGGTAGGCGATGTTGGAGCACCCCACGCGGGCCCCGCAGACTCTCTGGCAGACGTCGGGATCCACACAGCCCACCTCATCTGCAAGGAGGTGATGGCACTTAGAGCCGATCTTCCAGGGCCTTCTCTGTTGGCCCGGCATTTGCTTTCCCACCCCACAGGGAAGTGTTCCCTGGTGGCTGTCTGGGTGCTATGATTAGCTCTCCCTGGTACATTTCTCTACCACATACTACCCTGCAAAGCAATAGACTTGTTTGAATTTTAGGCCTTATATCCTGAAAAAAAAGGCAAATATCCTTGGAAGGCACCAAGAATGCCTTATCTGGTCTTTCCCTTATAGAGGGAAGGCAGGATTTAAGTTCAGATACAAATTTTTCTACTGAAATAGTTATTGCACATTTGGCCCACAAAGGTTAACACACTGCTCTATGTTCTTTTTCATTTATTTGTTTTAATCCATCGATCAGTTGCCTTCCTTACGTGCCCCACCCCAGGATCCAACCCGCAACCCAGGGATGTGCCCTGACCGGGAATCCAACCAGCAAGCTTTTGGTGCACAGGACAACACTCGACCAGCTGAGCCGCCCCGGCCGGACACCTATATGTTCTTAACAAAACTGCAGCCCTGCCTGCTGCAGTCCGACGCTGCGGGGGAGCCCAGCTCTCACCTGGGTACAGGGCCCGGCTGATCATGCCGGGCATGACGATGAAGAACATGGGCAGGATCTTCAGGTAGCCCCCCAGCACTGAGCCTCCCTTGGCGTGGGACAGACTCTTGGCGGAGAGGGATCTCTGCACAATGACCTGAAGGGCGGCAGTGGAGGCCACAGGTGAGCTCTGGCGTGGTCACTGCCTGTGCCCCTACAGCGGTCCCACAGCAGGTCCCAACCTCCTGTGCACCCAGATGCCCAGTTTTCCCTCGGGGAGCCGCCCCAGCTTGTGGTGGGCGGGGCCAAGCCTGGCAGGGGCGTCACCTGGTCCGTGCACCAGCACCAGGTGGCCAGCACCGTGAGCCCAAAAATAAGGCCTGGCCAAGGGATGTCCCCGCTCACGGGGTCCCGAAGCATGTGGAAGGCATCGGGCCGGGGGAGGTGACAGGTGGTGTTGGGGACTGTGGCGTTAGGGATGGCCTGCCTGTACCGCTGCTCCAGGCCTGGGTACCAGCCCACCTCCTTAAAGCCTGTGGGGAGAGACCACAGTGAGTGAAACAGCCCTGAGGCCCCGCGGGGCCTGCCACATGCCCCCACCCTCCCAGGTCCCAGTCCCGGGTGGAGTCCCTGGGCTTGGAACTGGTATGGGACATGGAACTGCAGGAGGGGTGTGGGGCTCCCCTGGTTTGGCATAGACAGGATCCTGCCCCCAGCCCGGAGGGGAGATATGGCTCTGAGCCCCGGGAAGTTCTGATCAAGCCATGGAGGTAACAGCCAAAGGCAGGTGAGGGGAACTTAGGGGCAAGGTTGGGGTGTATTCAGCTCTTGTCCTTACCCAGAAACATGAGGACCAGGGCTCCCCCCACCATGATGACCGTCTGCAGAGCGTCTGTGTAGATCACGGCCGTGAGGCCCCCTGGGGACCCAAGGAGAGGGTGCACCAGTCAGCACCAGCAGGGCTTGCTCTCTGGGTGCCCGCCTGTGCGGGGCCACTCTGGGGGGACCAGGGAAGACACGGAGCCCTCTTAGCAGGTGGCCTCCGGCCGCTGCCGTTCCCTGAACTGTGCTCCCCTCGGTCCCACCAGCAGGGTGGAGGCCGGTCACAGTCATCGGTGCTCAGGCCCAGCTCTCCCCACCTGACAGCCTCTGCCTGCAGCCGCCCTGCCAGAGCTGCTTGTTCAATGTCCCAAGTGTATCCTTCTGTGAGCTGTTGGCTCCCCCAGTCGTATCCCTCCCCTCACCCTAAGGCTCGATCAAATTCCCAGTCCTCCCAGGCCCTCTTAGCCACCTTAAGTCTGCCGAGCTGTGTCCCTGGGTGCCCAGGCCTGTAGGGGGTGCTCTGGAGGAGGCGGCTTTGTGGCTTTTGCCTGAAGCAGTCCTCAGAGACTCTGCTCCAGGTGACAGCCCCCTCATCACTGCCCTGCTCCGTTACAGTGGGTCTCCCAGTACCTCTCTGGGTCTCTCCTTCCCACCTCTTGGGCTGGCTGTTTCCTCCGGTTTCTGCCCTTTATGTGCCCCTTTCTCTGCTGCACGGAGCCTCTCAGTCTTTTCCTGTTTTCCTTTGTTCATGCCTCTCTGTCCGTCTCTATCTTTGGCTCTCCCTGTTTCTCGTTCTCTAGGGGTAGTTTTCCCTCTGCCCCCCCTCTGGACGGCTCTCTCCTCCAGCCCTTCCTGCTGTCTCCCACCAGAGCTTCCCTCCCCACCTCTCCCTGTCCCCAGGGTCCCTAGGTCTCCAATCCCCGATGTGACCTTCCCTCGGCCCTACCCGCGATGGTATAGACGGCCGTCACCACCAGCAAGATCACCGTGGAGAGGTACAGGTTCCAGCCCAAGGCCATCTGGATGAACAGGGCTCCGGAGAAGATGTCCGTCTGCAAGGACCCAACCAGGAGGTCACCCGGTGAGACCCCAGGGTGTCACCTCCCTGCTCAGCAGTACCAGCTGCTGTCAGCCCTCCTCACACGACGAGGACGGGCCTCCGCACCGTGCGGAGGAGAATGGGTGGGTCACGATGAGCCGCCGAGGATTTTAAAGCAGAGGAGGACCCGTGGGACTCTGAGACAGAACAGTGAGACCTGGCAGCACAGGGGACAGCCTGCTGGCCGAGAGGGGCGTAGTGGGGAGTGCGGCGGGAGACTGAGGAAGAGAGGCGGGAGCTGGGGTCAGAGAAGAGGCCACTTGGGAGGAGACTAGGGTCCCAGAGGGTCCCCGACTGCTCCCTGCCAGAGCAGAGGCCACTCAGCTGCCAGGCGGGCCCAGGGCTGACCCGATGGGCAGGAGCCCACCGCACACCCCACATGTCCGGGTTCATTAGAGGAGGTGGGGTCACGCCCTTTGCCTAAGCTGCCGTAGGTGGCTCACAAGCACTGGGGGAACAGGAGGCGGCCCTGGCAGCTGAGTGATTCGATTCCTCAGCGTGTGCTTGGCGATCCCCTTCCATGACTCTTTCGTGAACCCGTTACAGAGCCACAACGTGGCACAGCAGCAGGAGGCTGGGACGGGTCACAGGACCCCAGCTTTAGTTCCAGCCCCAGAGCAGGCAGGGCCCTCTGGGCACATCATGTGAGTCAGGTTTGTTTTCTAAGGTTAGGTCAATAGAGAAAGAATAAGAAACTTTCTAACTGTAACACTCTAGGCAATTAGTGTGTGGTCCTGAATGAAGAATCAGTGGATAGAAAGAGGAATGAATGAATGAATGAATGAATGAATGAA